TTGCTCCCCACTTATAGAAATCTGCGTACCCCCACAAACGGATTGAAGAACAGGCAAAGAACACTTACTCTTCTGCTCACCGTACCTGTGTAATTGCACACACATGTGCACAAACCCAGATTCTGTCCTGCAGACATCAGCACTGTCTGTGTCTCATTTACAGTTAATATATGCAAACCCATGTCCACTGTCCACTTTTGGTGAGTTGGAGCAGTATCTGGAAGTGGGGAGGTTGTCCTCGATAGTTGTAACACGAACACTGGAGAGATTTCAAAATGATCTTAACATGCAGGTGAATACATTTGCAAAAGTTTACAAATTTCCTTTCCTTCATAGCTACTGTAATTGCCACACATTAGAAACCAAAGTATGTCATTTTGATTAGGGAGGAAAATATCACAAAGGGCATGTGGGGAACCAGACTCCTTATAGGAGCAATTAGAGCATCAGAGATAGCCTGTGTGTGTGTGTGCGTGTGTGTGTCACGTGCACATCTATAAATGGGCATGTATATATATCCATATCAATGCACATATGTGCATATGTTATATTACTCTATATTGCATTACATAACGGGCATCTTCAGTCAATACGTGGAGCAATTTTAAAATTGCAATTTTTTTAAACTTTACATTGCTATTCTATGAAAATGCTAGTGCTGAGGCTGATGAGAATTTTCTAGCCATTACGTTGCATGTTCACACTTAAGCATGAAAAACAGGGCTCAGCTGCACAGAAAGGGTGGTCCAGTTGACCTTGCTAGTAACCTCTCCTTTCTTTCCAGCTGTGCAGGTCTATACCATAAATTCCTTCCTCTGTCTGCTCCACGATTGCCTACATCTAAGTCAGAAGGCCGCTGGTTCTGGAAGGAGATCTGTGTGATGGTTTGAGGGTAGGGAGGCCTGAATCTGATAGCCAGCATTGCGACAGACTGGCTGAAATCAAAATCAGTCCCAACTGATGGCAGATTATGGAAAGGGAGCTGGCTGGAGAGATGGGGGTCTGATCCGTCAGGCAAGGCAGGCTTGATCCCGGTCCTGAGGCACCTGTGGGATGACCAGTGAGCCTGATTTTCCAACAAGTACTGAGTTTAGTGATGCCTCTTTCTTCTTGACAACCCACATCTTTCCTTCTCTGTGAGCTTCAGAAAAGGGTCCCATAAGTCTTATAGAACCCCAGTTGACCAATCAGAGAGACAAGATGGCGGCTCCATCTACACTGCAGCATTCAGTGATTGTGATAGATTACACTATAAATTTAATCCCCAGCCATTTTGGGGTATGAAGTGTGAACTAAGACCCGTGTGTGATTTGGCTCCTCCAAGCCAGTATTTATAAGCTCAGCCTGTTCCCAGAGCAGAGACAAAGATGCCTACTTCCTAGAGCTTGAGTTTGGATCACAAACAAAGTGTCCGTGTGATTTATAGCCTCACTTGGAATTTTTATAGTAATCTACTGTGTATATGAACGCTACCGGAACTAGCAATGTTTGTAAACTTGAATTTTAATTCCATCGTTTAACAAAGTGTGAAAAAAGTGCAGAACTATGAGAATTAGAAATTATCTATGTAAAGACTGGCCTAATAGATCTGTCCAAAAAGAGGTCTAAGGGGAGTAGTATTTCATCTGTGAGTTTTCACTGGAAAACCTATTCTAAAGCTGTGTATCATGCACATTCCATTTTAAAAGATATTTAATAAGTTAGTGCACAATTTTAAAATGCTTGTCTGTCACTAGAATCATTCCAGTTTTATATTTTTTTATTTTGGCCAGGAAATCATGTGAAAAAAATCTGGTGTATAATGATACTAACATTTGGAAGGAAGAAATCATGTGTTTTTATCAGAAATACTGTGAATAGTGAGCAGCTGTTTGGTGTATAAAAGAGAGAAAGGAATTTCTTTATCGTTCCAAAATGCTTTTGAAATAGTATGTGTGACATTCAGAGACAGCAGTTGGTCATTGTAATAACCCTGAAATAAAATAATAAAACACTTGTGCTTTATGAGTGTGTAAGTTTTGTTGTAGTAAGAAAACTTCTTTTAATGCATGATTGTATTTTTTTAAAGATTTAATTATTTGAGCGAGAGAGAGAGAGAGAGAGTGAGCATGAGCAGAACGGAGAGAGAGAGAGGGAAAGAGAATCCCAAGCTGATTCCACGCTGAGCGCAGAGCCTGACGTGGGGCTTGATATCAAGACTCTGAGATCATGACCTGAAACAAAACCAAGAGTTGGACACGCAACTGACTGTGCCCTTTCATGATTACATTTTGTCTTAGTGATCACAGTCTGTAAAACAGATAAGTTACTAAGAATATAGCTAATCCGATCTAAGTCTTTCCTAAGTACTACCATGGGCAACTCTGATATTATATTTACTACATCAGAGTCACAGAATCCTGAAATGATCAATCAGATCTCCTAATACTGAGTTGAATTTCATAGGGGTGGGCAGAGATCAAGAAATTCTAACCACTTTTAAATTACCGTTATTTTTCTACTTTATAAAGGGAGTGACATTAATAAGGCCAAAATTATTTTCTCTCTGTATTAATGCCTGCACAATTTTTTTGTTTGATAATAAAGAGAAACATAAAGCTATATTTCTTTGTGGTCAGACCTAGTTCTATCTAGTGTTTAGAGCACAAGTATGTGGTTTCCAGAGGAAAAAAAGATGAGAGAACTTTTTAATCTGGGTGAATTATAAAGCTTCTGCATAAAAGTAGACCCTAAGTATTATAATAAAGGTAGAATACATCTCTTAGGTTAGCCTCCTTCAACTCTAAAGTGGATTGGACATCGCTCCTTTAGGCTGCTTCAGAGATCTACACTCCTACTTGTAATTTCTTGCCCACTACCCTGCACGGCCTTTCATGACTGTCAGTATTTCTCCGGACGACAAGCACTTTGAGGGGAGGGATGATGCCAGCTTTCCTGTGTGTCTCAGTGTACTATGGTGTACCAAATGTCTGTGAAATAAATGAGCCGAAGAATAATAAATGCATTTGGTAATGAGCCCCCCAAGTATGGTGGGTGGTGTTACTGCTCACAGGGGACTTTATTCGGAGTTCTTAAATGGAGGGAGGGAGTTAGTTCATAACTAACTAGTTCATAATTTGTTTGTGGCCCAAATCAATAGCATAGTTTCTTTACCAAACACACATCATGCTTTATCTGAGTCTCATACATTTATTTTTTCCCTGCAAAGAGTAAATGGTGTCCCAGAGCTCAGTTTTATGTCTTATGACGTTTGTTGAGTGTTATGTGGAGGTGTGCAGTTTTCAGGTAACTAAGAAATTTGCATATATAAGGAAGTTTGTAGACAACATGCCTTTGTGTTGAGAGGAGAGCGTAGGGATATCTCAACGGCTAGCACCGTCCCCAAAGAGATGCTGGACAGCATTCACATAAGCTCATAATCACCGTGCATGTCTACAGAGACTTGCTGTGAGGTGAGAGACAGCCTTGCTCTCTGTCGGATAACAGACATACATAGTTGTCTCTTACAGTCTTATGAGGAAACATTTGACACATATGGACATCTTAAATAGTAGACTCTATCTTCCTTGTATATAAAGACTTTTTTTTAACTCCTGAAAAGTCCTTAAAATGGTGACTTGTGGGGCGCCTGGGTGGCTCAGTGAGTTGAGCCTCTGCCTTCGGCTCAGGTCATGATCCCGGAGTCCTGGGATCGAGCCCTGCATCGGGCTCTCTGCTCAGCAGGGAGCCTGCTTCCTCCCTCTCTCTCTGCCTGCCTCTCTGGCTGCTTGTGATCTCTCTCTCTCTCTCTGTCAAATAAATAAATAAATATTTTTAAAAAATGGTGACTTGTATAACACAGAGTCTCAATAATTATTTGGGGAAGGAACAAATTAATGAAGAATATGTATTACTGATAACAGCTGAAAATCCTCATTCTGTTTCCTAAAAAGTTGAAGTATGCATTGCAGTCTTTAGCATGCAGCTGACTGTTGTTTCCTTGTTAAGCTGATGACATTTCCGGGTAGACCAACAGTATAAACTAGAATTAGGATAGGGGATTTTCTAACCTTCAGAGCAAGGGTTAGGAATTGTACTTGCCATATGTAGGTGAGGGAACTGAGGCTCTTGGAGGGAAAATGACTTATTCAAGTTGATACTCCGGTAAGCATTAACATCTGGATTTGAACTCAGGCCCTCCTGACCAAGCCTTGAACTTGTTCTTCTACGTAGTACTACTAAAATGATTAGAACGATTTCTCATTGAAAACTTAAGTCATGACCTTTGTTGCACAGGTTTGAATTTTGTAATCTTTGTGCTTCATAAAGGTGCTGCTCTTGGAGTTTTGCTTAATAAGGGAATCCCAGACGTAGGCTTCAACCACAGAAGGACATTCATGTTTAACATATTGTTCATATTTGTCTCTCCGATGCCCGCGAATCCAAAACACAGATTCTAGACTGTGCCAACTCACTTGCAGAGATCATCATTCAAAAACACCAGTTTGCAAGAATAATTAGTTGCTTTTGTAAGTGACTTAAACACGACCTTTATCTTTAGCCCACATGGCTAGTGCATGAGGGGCATATTTACTTTTATTGCAAGAACCTTGAAGACCATACATTTCTTCCTTTCTGATTCCAGTTCAGTCAGACTTATTTCATCCGGTTGTACAGTGAAATCCATTGCAGTCTGCAGAGGTAGCAGACTCCTAAATTTGTAAAGCTATGCCAACCAGAAGCTTTGGGGGGAATAATTTAAGTTTCACATTCTGCAGAGAAAACCAAAAAGATGGGTTGCGGCATGTGATGTGATTTCTTCATTACGAGAGGCGGACCAAACGACCTCTCATTCAAGGAGGTGGCATTCTGAGGTCCTGCTCTCCGTTTCCCGTTCACACATAGCAACTGGTGGCAACTAAAAATAATGAGCTCTGCCACCAGCTGAGAATCTGGTCACAGTTGGCTCGTGGACAGCGTGCACAAATGAGACTGAGGATGCCTCGTTCGGTTTCCTCCCTCCAGCCCACTCATCCCCTAGTTTGCTGTCATTTGGAAGCTATTGCAAAGTCATTAACAGGCAGGACCGGGAGAGCCGCAGTGCAGCACACCTCTGTGTGGACAGAATGTGGCTGCGTGTAAGCACCAATGGGAGTGGCCTGTTCCCGGGACCGGGGCCCCAGGAGCCCTGTCAGTCAGCCTCCTTACAATAGCACGTGCATCCGCCGGGGCTCCGCATCCGCTGGGAGGCTTCGCTGAACTCCAGCTGCTGAATGAGAATGAGTTCAAAGCTTTTTACACGATCATGGAACCGAGCCTCGGCTCAGTAATGCATCCTGAGGTAAACTGTTACCTGAGTCAGGCTCTAAATAATGCATTTCCTGGGGACCACAGTTGTAGCAGAAGAGAATGCCGGAACCCGTAGCAAGATTGCTGTCTGAGATGGAAAGATGTCTCACTATCATTTCATCAAGTGCTGTAAGTAAGCTGCATATTTTGCTCGTGCGGTTGTCTTCTTGAAATAGGACATAGGCAGATGCCAAAATTCAGGCGGGTCTTCTGGTATACCATGTCCAGATGCGCAACATAGCACCGTGACTCGGAAAGATGTTTTACACGCTTAAATGTGTTTCCTCTTAATTTCAGGTGCTGCAGTTACTCCTGTGTGATCCAAAAGCTGATAGTGTAGAATCTTTAAAACTTGATCTTTTTAAGAAAAAGAAAATACATATATGCAGTAATAAAAAATAGCAATTGGTAAAAAGGAATGTGAGAAGGATATTTCTGGGTATCAGCATACATGAACACAGTGCTTGTATAAAAACTTAGCTCGTGAATGTATGGCTGAGACCATTTTAGTTACTATTTTACTCTCAAGTTTGACTGCTTCTGTCTGCATCCGGTGCTCAACTTACAAGCTTAATCTTTCTGAATATCCTTGACGGTAAACTTTTGTCCTTGTGTCATTCACCTTGAAGTGTTCAAGGACTCGCGTAGCATCTGTACCAGATGCTCTACGCTGATGCTGCTAGGGTGAAAAATAGTTTGTCACTGGCTTTCTGATGAGTCCATAAAGGCTTTCTTCAATGCCTGATTTTTTAACAATTTTCCGAACTAGATAAAAGCTGCCTCTGAACCTTCTCCAGATGGTAATCATGAAGAAGGAGACATATTTATAGCAAAAATGGCTTGCTAGATATACATGTGGTACTTCTGAAAACTTCTGTACATGTATGTCATTGTCTTAAAGTGACAGATGACATTAGTAGAAAATGCTTTCCTCTTAGGGTGAGGGTTTTGTTGGCCAAGGACGTTACACTGTTCCATTTAAAGTAACATTGTGAAGGGGACATGTTTGAATGGATCTTGAGTTTTGCACTAAAGGAGAGTGAAAAGATCATGATAATAGAGAAGGAGAAATCTTTTCATTTCTTTTGTCTTTTGTGGGAGGATGTACATAGGAGTGAAACATCTATGATGAATGAAAATGAAAATGCCTTACTCTTCACCATGCACCGAGCGTGCTGGACAATTTTAATTCCAAAAGGAATTCGTTGATCAGTTTGTAAGTTGGAAAATTAACCCTTTAACAAAAATTGGGAGTGTGCAGCATATTTGGGAATTGTGACAAAAGGGTTTTTGTTTGTTTAATCCCTGATATCTTGGGGTTATTATCTTGGTGAAATGTCTGTAGGAGGGCACTCTTGGCAGCCTTTCATGTTGCCCCTCCTGTCTGACTGCACTAGCAGAATGTCATTATTTCTCCTTCCCGTGCCTCTGCAGAGGTGGTTCCCGAAGCCCTCTGCACCATTTCTACAAGGAACCTGGGTGCTCGTTAGGCAGAGTGGACACACTTGCTGGAAGGCAGCCACAGAGCCTGGGCAGATCACAGAGGGACAGAGTGAAAGGACTCAGGGAGGATCGGGAGCAGCTGGTCACCAAAGAGAACATGAACCTGCCCTTAGCTGCCTTACACTCCTTCTGTTCCAGCTGAATGATCTGAGTTTAAATTTGGGGAAGTTCAAAGAAGTCATGATGTCTGCTCCAGTGGAAGCATTTGAGTTAAATCTTGCAGTTTGGGTGAAATATAAAATTAATGAATAGTGAAATGATTCAATTACCTGGAAAAAAGTGTTCTTGATGAATTTATCCAAGTAATCACATAATACTTAGAAAAGATCCAACTATGTTCTATGCCCGGCGTTTGGTCATGTCTCTAAAATGGCAAAGAAGCATGGAAACGTCAGAAACTATCTTCTATGGCAGAAGGGTACAACGAGCTAAAGGAATTCAGAAATTATATTTCACTGTGAGACACCAGTCAGGGGACATCTCAGAGTCGAGTTGGATCCTGAAGGATGGGGAGAGTCCAGAAGGAAAGTTGGGGCTTGTGTAGAATCAGAGGGTTTGTTGATAAGGATCATAATCCACAGCTTGGCTGTTCTCGCTGCATCATTGTTTCTGTATTGTGTTCCCTTGTCCCTCATAAGGGGGCGATCTCTTGGCAAGGCTCACGGGCCCATTTTCTTCACGTTTCTTCCTCACTTGAGCCTCCACATGCCTGTCGTGTCATCCTGCCCCGGTTCATCCCTGCACCACGTCCACCTCCCCGCCCGGCCCCAAGGTAGGGAGGGTTCAGATCCAAGAGCGTGAGCTAGAGCTCCAGAAACCAGCAGGAGCAGACCCCCATGGCATCTCAGGAGGAGGGCCTTAGGGCTGGACGTGGGGAGACCAAGAAAGAATGCTTACAAGGAACTTTAAATATCACCTAGGAAAATACTCATTATTTAATGATAAAGCATGGATATACTGAAAGGTCTAAACTCAGATTCTAGCAGTGGTTGACTCTGGCTTGTGGAATCATCAGTTTTTGTGGCTCCAGGTAGCATATGCAATTCCGTGAAATATCATTATAAATAATTGTTACATATCAATATAAAATATTAGCATTCACACATGAATTATGACTAGCTTCAGAATAGAATTGTATAATTATAGTTATGGGATTATCTGTTACATTTATAAATCAGCCTGTATGTTTCAAAATTGTCTATAGTGGCCATGTTTTCCTTTGACCGTCAGAAAAACAAACTCAAAGACCATGTAGGAGAGAGTATACGAAGGAAGAAATGGCTGAGACCTACATCTCCACCCACATTCCTTTCTGACTCCATGGGTTCTGGCCGAATTTGACATGTTCCATATATCTGATATAGAAAAGTTAAAAAACTAGAATCTAAAAATGTAGTGTGGAAACAAGATGTAGCAGGAAAGTGGAGGGGCGTCACTGCCAAGAAGTGCTGAGGATTCCCGGACCTCTGTGACCAAGAGATGTCTTTGGATGGGTGTGACTCTGTCCAAGTTGTGCCTGGTGAGGTGGCAGGAAGTGAGGAGGGCAGATGCTTCAACTGAGGCACACGAGCAAGGGGACGGGGGAACACAGTCACAGCGTGTTAGGGCCATGGGACCCCGTGGAGCTGTCGTTCTGGTTTGCTGCTAACGATGGGCAGAGAGGCAGGAGGTCTGTCCTATTAAATCCTCTTCAATGCCTCAGGAGTCAGACCTCTGCCTGGCCTGTATCTCTCCCAGTTTACTCCTCGAAGTATATGGGGTCGGACAGCCCTGTTTGCAATAGGAAGCAAGTTAAACTTATTTAAAATGACCTGTTAGTTCATTCACAGCAACCAAGGATGAATTTTACCATCGAGGCTGCTATTTTGCATACTAAAAAATTTCCCAGTACCAAGGTCACCTTCTTTTCCTCTCATCGTGGGTTTTCATAAACACTACTCCCACCGACATGCCGTCCCTGATCTTTCCCCGACTGTTCCTGCTGTTCACGAGTTCGAGCCCCGTGAAGCTGCGGGCTCACTGAGACGTCAGCACGCTGGTCCCTCCTTGGCTCGCCCTCTGCCCGGGTCAGGTCTGTGGTCCTTCATGGAAGCCTCCCACACCCTAGCCCTGATCTCCGCCTTGCACTGAAGCGAGAGATGCCAAGCCGAGCTTGAACCGGACTGTCCACCTGTCTGTCCCTCCACCAGCACAGCTGGATGGTCACTGAGGCTGCAGCAAAAGCAGACTCGTTTCACATCAGTTTCAGACTGCAACACTCTCCCTCCCTCGCGCTATGCGTCCCCAGGAGGCACGGCGGCTCAGACCTAGAGAATCCCGACATTTCCCTCCCTGAGAGGATGGAAGCCAGCAGATGTAGATGGTGTATCTTCCTACTGGTAAAACTGCAAAGGCACTGGTGTGTGAATTTCTCTTTGTCCACTCTTTTCTGTGATGGTGAATTGTTCCTCCTCGTGTCCAAAGCCTGCTCTGAACTCTATCCCCTCTCGCCTCCCTCCTTCTGTTCCCCTCCTCTCCGAACCCTCAGTCTCCTCCACTGAAGCACGTCCACTAGCATTCACACCTGGCCCGACAGGCCCATCTTCAGATAATCAAACAGTCCCCCTTGACCTCATGCTCCTTTCTGGCCACCAACCGATTTCTTTCTTTTCATGGTCATTCTTGGAAAAATCGCCTATACACATGATTGCTGACCCTCGTCCCCCTTTCTACTCTACAAATAATTCCACTGAACTTACCTTAATTAAACCTTCTTTATGGGGCAAAATCCAGTGGACACTAGTCCTTCCTTGTGTTAGTTAATTTTTCACTTGACCTCTACCTCTTCTTTTACAGTTCTTGGGATTTTTCTCCTAGTTCACTGGCAAGTCTTCCTTTGCCTCCTTGCTGGCTTTCCTCAGTAGAGGTTGGCCCTGACACTTAACAGTCTCTGGTTTACCTCTTCTCTCCTTGGGGCATTAAACCTCACATAGATTTTCCCTGGTTGTACCACCGACTCCAACATCTCCTTTTCTCTCTCAACAACATGGGCATTTTTTCTGGTCAGTGAACATATGTCTTCTCAATATTCTTGTTTGGATTGCTAGGTCATATCCCATAACCTTTATTAAACCATTTATTCATTAATAAACTTCCCTTTTTGATAAGCATTAAAACATTATATTTTAGCGTTTTGGCTTCTATTACTAAAGTATTGATTCACAAAGGCAGTGTTGTTGAATCAAATGGTGTGTGTAATTTCAAGTGTGATAGAAACTGCCAGATTTCTTTCCGCTAGGCTGTAGCACTTCAAGTTCCCCCCTTGGTGGAGAACACCCATCCCTGCTTTTTCCCAGCCTGGGGTGCTGTCCTTGTGCAGATGTCATCAGTGCCTTGGTTGAAATACAGTTTCTCAAAGGTCCAATTTTATTCTACTAATAATTAAGGAGATTCGCTCATTTCTTCTTGGCCCTATCTCTTCATATTTGTTCTCATTTTTATTTTGGACTGTTTCTTCTTTTTCTTATCAATTTATGAAATCATTTATATTAAGAAACATCAGTATTTCCCTGAATATGTGTTGAAGACAGGTCTCCAATTTTTTCTCCCTTGTTTTTGTTCTGGGTATTTGTTGGCGTCGAAGTTTT